GGGGTGGGGGGGGGTCTGCGACTCTTCCCCAGCCGCCCCCGGAGGGGGCTGGTGCCCGCCAGGTGGGAGAGGAGGGGAAGGCTACGCGCGGGGACAAAGGGCCGCCTCGCCCCACGGCGGAGTCGATGCTCGGCGCCCAGCCTCGAGTCAGCAGAAAGCTCTGTCGGCAGCCCGAAATGGCTTGGCCCCGTTGCCGGCCCCCTCCTGGCTGCGCCCCTGCAGTCGGCTGACGGGGGGGGTAACCCCATGGGTGCCAAAGCCAAGCAGACTTTACCCACCTGGAGGCTGTTCTTGGACGGTGTTGGGAATAAGGGAGAAATTAACTCCGGTGCAGGTAAGGACGACTTGAGGCTGGTTCATTCATGGATTGGAGACAGAAAGCAAAGGAAGGTGTGGGGGGGGAGATCACAGCTGAAGTTGGGGAATGGAGAGGCTGGAGATGGGGGATAAGGATGGGGCTGGGGTGGAAAAGGAGAACACCTGAGGATGCCCCACCTTTTTGTTTCCTAAAGAAGTAAGTTTTTTTTGCAGATTTTGGCTTCCTTTCTGCACCCACTGATTCCTTTCCCCAGAAGGCACCTGCATTTTCTTCCTTCTTCCTAAGCTGGGAGATTGTCGCCTCTGATTGGGAAAAGGAATTTAAGCGGGGGGAGGGTGGGGTGGTGGTGGTGAAGCAACTTGGACTAATTCATCCTAATGCATTTTTTCCTCATCTGGTCCCCTTCAGATCTGTTGGAACACAGTCCTCATCTTCCCCAGCCCCACAGGGCAAGAGGGATAGTAGAGGAGAATATATAGGGTTGAACAGTGGAGTCCTTGGGATTCTCTGAGATTGGTTGTTTGCTTGCAGACGCTGAAACATCTGAAGATGTTGCCTAGACAGGTAACAAAATGTCTGGAAGGAAACAACCAAGCTCAGAGAACCCCATGGACTCCATAAGAGGAATTATGGTTAGGGAATTACGGTTTCACACTTTCAGAGGACTCCCTAAAGGAGAAGTGGGCAATCAGAAGAGCCACACTGAATATGGGAGGGGGACTGGGGGTGGCAAAGTGAGTGGGTGGCAAAGTGAGTGCTGTGTTTTGGGGGGGTTATATTCTGATATACCTATTTTAGGACTTTGATGGCATCTCTTTCTCATTCCAAATGACTTTGATGCTTTTGGAAGTGGAAGATGTAAGGGCAGTGAAAAGGCAGCTTTGTTTTGAAGTGTGTGTTGCTTATCTCTCTGAGTGCCACAGCCATTGCAAGCTTCAGTGGGAGCTGATCCTCTTCCTCCAGGGTTAAAGTGATCCCATTATCTTTCTAGCTATTGAGCCGGGTGGCAGAGTGGCAATTTCAACTTATGTCCTCCTCTTCCCCCCCTTCAGAACTCCCACCCTGTTGTATCATGGAGATGTGGGTGCTTCTCCATCTTCCTTAGATATTGTACAGCCGTGTCACCGTTGAGCTGTTTTTCTTCCTGAGATCCAGTTCTTTGGAATCAGCTCCCACCAGAAATACGCTTGGGGTCAGATCTCTTGAACTTTAAAAAAACATGAGCAACTCTTCTTTTTTTAGACTTCTCCGAAGTTACTTTTTTAAGTTTCTGCTAATTTGAATGTCTAGATGCATATGGAATTTTTTTTTTTAATCTGCTCAATTGTGCTTGATTCTCAGAGACTGCTTGGACTCGTCCCTGCAGTTTTCTTGGCAAGGTTTTTCAGAAATGGTTTGCCCTTGCCTCCTTCCTAGGGCTGAGAGAAAGGGACTGGCCCAAGGTCACCCAGCTGGCTTTGTGCCCAAGGCAGGAGTAGAACTCAGGGTCTCCTGGTTTCTAGCCTGGTGCCTTCACCACGACACCAAACTGACTCTCATATATGGAAAACATAGATGTTAATTTTAATGTATATAAAAAAATGTAGACATCATGATATGTCATGGCCTTTTTCATTTAGAGGCTCTAATTCAGTGTGTTTCTCAACCTCGGCAACTTGAAGATGTGTGGACTTCAACTCCCAGAATTCCCCAGTCCACACATCTTTAAGTTGCCGAGGTTGAGAAGCACTGCTCTAATTGATTGAAGTATGTTATGGTACTAATTGATGGTTTATCCCACATTTGCAGTGTGCATGGCAACTAAAATTACCGCTAATGATATAATGGCATATTTCTGTTGCAGATTTAGGTCGCCTCCCCATCAAGAACAGAACTGGCAGCAGGGCAGGGGTTATTTCACAACTTCTTTGGAAAGTCAGCTGCGTGGAGATGGAGGAGAAGCCCAATGCTGCAAATCCTGAGACAGGAAAGAGCCCCACAGTCCCACAGGTGGGGAGCCAAGGGGAATTCTGGGAAAGAACTGTCCCCAAATTCCTGGGAAAGGGCAACTGGTTAGACATCAGGTGTCAGTGCTTCAAAGATTTTTGCTACTGGGAGGGTGAAGGACCTCGGGAGATTTGCAGTCGCCTTCACCAGTTTTATCGACAGTGGTTGAAGCCAGAAAAAAACACCAAAGCTCAGATGTTGGACCTCATGATCCTGAAGCAGTTCCTAGCCATCCTACCCCCCGAGATAGAGAACTGGATCAAGGACTGTGGAGCAGAGACCACTTCCCAGGCAGTAGCTCTGGCAGAAGGTTTCCTCTTGAGCCAGGCAGAAGACAAAAAACAGGTGAGAGACTTGCATCCCTGTAACTCTCAGGAGCTGAAGTTGTATGGATGATCATCCTGAAGCCTCCATTGGTAGCTCAGAAATTATTCCCAAAGAAGTGCTGCCCAACTGTTGAGACTGGGAATTTGAAGAGGATGGGGGAGACCTACCTTGGGGAGGAGAATGACACTTAAAGCTCCGGGGAAAGGGGAATGCTGGTCTTGCCTCCCCACCAGCATCCCAGGGGATAATCAGGTCCATGGGAACAGAAATAGGAGGCGTCTGAAGCAGCTCCTAGTTTGCCCCAGCTTCTTCTTTTTGCTTTTCTGGCTGGCTAGTTTTAGGTGGGATCCTAACATGTTATCCTGACAGGGATGTTCTGTTACACCAAGTGAGTGTTGTTACCCAGGTTTCTCCAGAATTTCAGACAGGGGATCTTTGCAGCTTTACCTGAAGATGTTGTGGTTTGGATCCAAAGTGGATCTTACTTATTTCTTGGATTTCTATCCTGCCTTTCCTCCAGGAGCTCAAGGAGGTCTACCTAGTGGTCCTTCCTCCAGTTTTTCCCCCTAATTCTGTGAGCTGAGATAGCGAGCATGACCGACTCAAGTTCATTACTGAGTTTCCGTGACCATGGATGGACTTGAACGTGGGTCCTACTCCAGCATCTTAACTTACACCATGCTGGGATATGTCCTTGCAAATCCTATACTCTAACAGGGGAGGGCTTTTACAAGCAAGTCACCTGTTGTCACTGAGCTGGGCCACTTCTATATCCTCACCCCAGTGCTAAGAAGACCATGTATCTCTAGATCCTTGAGTGGCCAACAGCCATAGCTTCACTTGGGCTGCTGGACTTCTAAGGTTTATGCCTTTCCTATGTCTTTGCATACTCTCTCTTCCCCTTTCCATGCCTGAGTTCCTCTCTCTGATTCCAGATGCAATGGATGTTAGCCAAAACACCCACTGAACTTCCCAAGGCAGGCAAAGTTCCGCTGGATGTCATGCAGAAGCTGTTGTTGAGAGGAATTGTGCGGGAGGAAAGTGGAGAAGCCACCTCACTGGGTAAGGAATCCTAGAGTATGTTCCAACTTGCTCTAATCCCCAGATCCCAGGATCACAGAGTGAGAGGATGTCTGGAAGTGCTTCTTAGCCTATCTCCATGCTGCTACATCTCTTTGCTCTTCCTTAAAATGGATGTTTTCCAGGAGGTCATCTGGAATAGGCTGCCCTACGTGTAAACATATTTTCTTCTTTCCGGACCTCTGGTCCTCCCTTTTACATGGGTCTGTTTTATACTGTAAGCCTCTTGAACCTTTATGTTTTTAAAATCTACCTTTTCTTTTGATGGCACCACATAATCTGGCCTCTGGAACAGCATCCCCCCAAGATCTGTATAACTTCCCCACATGTTCTGAAAGTCTTGGAAAACCAGGCTGTTCTCTCAGGCCCTGAGGTAGGATGGTTACTGAGTCCTGTAGGTCCTTCCTTGGTGTGCTGCCTGTGGCTTTCTCTTCTAGACTTCTACGATCCGTTTCTACGATCCGTTTTTTATTTCTCACTTTTAAAGTGTAATCCACCCACAGGCATTTGAAGTCAGGTGGCATTACATTATGTAATATAAATGATAAAATCTGTGCGGTGCTTTTGTTCCTCCTGAGCCTCTCTGGACCAAGTCCCAATGTGGTAGGGTCATTGCCAAGACCTATACCTAATCTGGTAGCCCATTCTTAATCCAGAAAGTCCCGTGGCAGCTATTTTTTCCATTCTTGCTCTTTGTCAACTTGCATTTTCCAAGCACCTAGCAAGGAGCTGCAACTTCTACTGGTTTTATCCTCTCATTCTGGCAGTGGTGTAAATTGGGTCCAGAAGGAATCCAGCAGTGTGATTTCTGTCCCCAAACCCGATGCAGGTATATTTGTTCCAGTCTAGAAATGCCAACACTTAGCAAAAACAATGTCCTATTTATCTCCTTCCTAGGTAGGAAAGCCTCTCTGGAATTCCATTCTATCCCTACTACTGGAGCAGTTGAAACAGTTGCTATCCACCTTGATCTGGTAGGAGAAAAGTAATTAGATAATTGATCCAGGGACACCTTGAGTGTTCCTCTCCCCTATGCACTTCTTTCCTTCATTCCCTTGCTTCTCTTGGTGGGGTCCCGTTGGGAAGGCTGTCAGATTTGGAAACCTGAGATCTGTTGAGTCCTTGGGGTTCTCTGAGCTTGGTTGTTTTCTTGCAGACTTTTTGTTTTGTTGGTAACAAAACATCTACAAGAAAACAATCAAGCTCAGAGAACCCCAAGGACTCCACAGTTCAACCCTGAGCTACATATATTCTGTTCTATTGGTAACTTGGGATCTGTTCTCCTCTATTGATAACTTGAGAAAAGGGAATGGCCTTGAAGGACAGGAGGAAGAGCTGGTACCATGGATATGGTCAGATAAGAGGGGCTTGAGCCCAGGCCAAGAAAATAACTTGAGAAGAGCTCCTCCCTAGTTCACATGAAGATAAAGTGAGGGAGGGGGGAAGCACATCCAGACTTGTAAGATTCTATTACTATAGCTGTTATAATAAAAGTAGTCCTGATCTGTATGGCATTGGTTTCTTAGTCTGGCCTACCTTGTTGATCTTGATCTTGCAAGTCTAAATGTGCTTCCCCCTCCCTTACTTTATCTTTGTGTGAACAAGGGAGGGGCTCGTCTGGGACGTTTTCTCAAGTTATTTTCGCAGCCTGGGCTCAAGTCCCTCTTATCTGATCTTTGTCTTTAGCGGCTCTTCCTCCTGTCCTTCAAGGCCATGCCTTATGCCATCTACAGGATCTTACTCAATGTTCCTATCTTGTTTTGGTGGCTTTTTAATTCATGAAGATAACGTGTCTTCTTTTTTCAGGGTACAGTATCCTTCCAAGAGGTGGCTGTGGATTTTTCAGAAGACGAATGGGCTCTTTTGAATTCTGCCCAAAAAGCTTTGTATAGAGAAGTCATGGAGGAGAATTATTTGATGGTATCCTCTCTGGGTAAGGCTCTTTCCCAAATTGCTTGATACTGTTGAAGGTCCAGAATCCTTTTCTCAAGAATGATGATAGAGTTAGGCCAAAACACAAGAACTTGGAGCATTCTCAGGATGAGGTAAAACAAAGCCTGCTGTTATTTGGCTTTAAGTATGAATATGAACTTTGAATTCATTAAATATGAACCCCACAGAGATTTCTGACTTCCCAAATGAATTTCAGCTGGTCAACTCAGTATTATGGAAGTATAATCATACGTAATAATCAAGAGGTGAGGTTCCCAGAAGAATGGGAATCACTAGGGCATTCGGGCATTGAAAGGCTCTGCTGATCTACCCTGAAGTGAAAATGCTTTAAGGTGGGTTGTGTTTCCTGCCTAGACGTTGGATTGGCCAACTGAAAACTACATGGTTCATTTGGTTAAGGAGGCTGAAAAGGCTGTTTGCATCTGCCTAAGAACCTTACCCTTTGCATAATCCAGAAAAGCAGTGGTTGACCTGAGTGGTAACCAGATTACGAACTTCGGTTGTAATTTCAGTAAAAGAGGGACCCCAATATGTAAGCAAATTTTGCTCCTGACTCCTGTGGGTCTCTTACTTCCACACACTGTCCAAGACAAAAGACTGATATTAGTCCTCTCTGAGTGACTTGTCTGTCCCCATAGCCACCATTTCTGACAACCCCAGTTGTCCCTTTTGACTGGACAGTAATGTCCCCATTTTACTTTTAGTCCACAAATGAAACAGCCTTAACCTGTCATCCAGTTTAGCAGTATCTAAATAGACTTCCTCCTTTATTCTGGCACTGGAACCCTTTGCCACCCATTACTTTGCTGCTGTGCTCAGGTGACCAGTTGTGGATGTGATCAGAGTTCTCTTGGATGTTTGGGCCTGCTGTGGGCAGGTCCTCTCTCCCCTGGTTGCCTGTCAGCCTCTTTTGCTACTATTTAGTCATTTTCTCCTTAAAGACTTGGGTGCACCCCTGTGTGTGAAACCTGATCCATCTCAGAAAGGAGGTGGATTGTCTTTTGAAAGTACTATGAAGTGAAATACAACCCACATTCTGCAATATATCAGCCATTCTGTATCATGTAAATATAGCTGGAGGGCAGTTCGAAAGACGTCGGTGGGAGCCCTTGCTCACGATTCATTCTTGTTTTGGGTTGCAGTTGGGACTTCAGGCAAAGCATAGAACAAGAGGATGCATTTCCACTACTCTGTTGTGGCGGTAGAGTTCATAGAAAGTTTTGTGGAGCTATGCTAAATCTGGGCATCTCCCATTGCTTGCCTGGGACACATTGACCCTGTCACGTTCCCATCTTCTATTGGCTACTTGTTCTTAATGAAAACCTCCCAAAGCTTTATTCCCCATGCTGGCTGGGGAATTCTGGGAGTTCCAGAAGTCCACACAAGTTTTTGCCAAGTTTGCAAAACACTGTACTACAGGGATCCCTCCATTTACAGGCACAACTTGAGAGAACCCTTTAAATGTGGGTATCTTTGACCTGTTTGTCTCTGTCTTACTTTCTGTCCTTCCTCAATTACTAATACATTACAGCCTGGCTCTCGCTTAGTTTTCTACATACAGTCCTGCCTTGTAACTCCAGCTTTCCCCCTTGGCCATATGACATGGTCCTTATCCAAGCCTGTGAATTAAACAACCTTAAGTCATCAGTAGGTATACCAGTGTAAAACTAGTATTTTCTCCCATACTCTGACACCATTACAGCTTCAAGGTATGTAAAAATCTGTTATGCTTCGCCATGTGCTTGGAGGTAAGACCAAGTGACTGGTAACAAAGCTGACCGGAGTTATGTGTTGGGTCTCTCAGCCTGTGCAGTGCGTTCCCTCCCCTCTGGTGCCCGGCAAGCTCTTTTGGTGTGATTCAACAATTCTTTCTGGAAATAGTTGGACACAACTTGTGATGTGAAATGTCGCAGTGCACTCTTGAGGTGTGGAGAACAGTTTTTCAGAAATACTGGGAGCTGCTTTTTATCTGTTGTTGGTAATCCTTCCGTGTTACATGATGACATTGGAAGAAAGTTCCCAAAATGTCAGCATGAGTTTGAACACATGAATCTTCCGTGTGCAATGAATAGAACTCTTTTGAAAATGTGCCACCGATTGGCACATTTGTGTTCTCATATCAGTGAAGTTCACCCAGCTTGCTTGTCTGGTCTACCCAGTATGACCCATGGATATTGCCATACTTCATCTTCCAACTGGCCATTCACTACTGAATTAAACCTTTGCCAAAACTATTCAAACCGATGGAGTGGTGGATGACCACTTTTGGTGGCCAGGCAGACTTGTCCGATAATGCTAAATTATTCACTCCATTTTGTTTGGTTACACTTTTAGGTGTGACATAAAATAATCTTTAGATCAGGGTATCTTTGTTCCTAATTGTACCTTGACATGACACAATCATGCCTTGATGGCTCCAATTTTCTCCCTTGTTCTTACAAACTTGCCTTTATATCATCCTCAATCCATGAGGGAGACAACCTTAAGTCATCATTAGCTGTAGTATTTTTCTCCTTATTCTGGTGCTCTCTGATCTGTTACTTTGGCGATATAGTCAGGTGACCATTAGCCAGTATGTCTGGAGGTGTGTTTTAGGCTGCTGTTGGCATACTCCTTCCACTCTGGTCTTTTGCCACCATCCTCTTCCCAAAGATCTGGCCATAAAAGGTCCTGAAACATGGAGGATCTTTCTAAAATAGTAGCACTAATTTCTGTCATCAGTAACCCTTTGATGCTATGTGATCAAAATGTGGAAGAAATTCCAAGAGCAGATCAGTGGGAGCTTGAACACCTTGTATTTTGATTGGAAATCCCTTCCCCCAGGGGCTACTCATGAGTTGATATAATCTCTGCAGCACTCTTGCCAAGAAAACTACATGGATGTTTCCATCTGGTCACCAGGAATCAGCCTCAACTTAAAGGAGACTTTGCTACCTTCTCAACATATGTGGCAGGTTACAGCAGGCACATTTGCTGGGTCTGCAGCCAATCAGATGTGGGTGATAGCACCAGAACATTCCCATCTTCTCAATCAGTTGGCTCTCACCCCATCCAGGCTTTGCTCTTTTTCCTTTTCTGTTTTTCCCCACACATCTCCCCTTCTGCTGGTCCTGGCTCATTAGATCAGGACTGTGTTCCTGTATGTAAGTGTCCAGATTTATGTGCCATCAAGACAATATTGACTCTTAATCACATGGACAGATTTTATCCGGGACAGTCAGTCCCCAACTGAAGTCCTTCAGATCTTCCAATGGTGTATTCTTCGCCACTGTAATAACCTATCCACCTTGCTGCTGGTCATCCTTTCTTTTCTTTCCTTCCACATTTCCTAGTAGTATGGACTTCTCAAGGGAGCTGACTCAGTTATAGTGGTGATGAGTGCCCCGTTGGGAGTCCTAAAAGAACAGGTTAGGGATGGAGCGTCATAGAGAAAATCTATCTATGTAGTCACTAGGAGTTGAAAATGACTTGATGGCACATAAATCAATCAAGGGAGCTGGGTCTTTGCATAGAGTATCCGAAATATAATAATTTGAACCTGGTCATTTGTGCCTTGAATGAGAACTCTGGATTGAATTGGGATTAAATGTTAATTAAATTTAGGGTTGAAGTGGGATTAAACTCTGGGATTAAAACTGGGATAAAACCCTGGATTGAACTGGGATTAAATGTCCTAGGCTCTTCCTTCCCATTCTCCCTGTGCAGGTTTAGCTCTCCCTGTCTGCCTCTGAACAATATCATAAACCTTTTCTTTTGCATCAGTCTTCCACTTGCAGAAACTTTTGGAGGTGTGGGACTTAAACACAATGAATATTATGGAGCCTCTTGCAGATTCGGAGTTGAGTAAATATTAATGAGAGGGGAATTGATGGGGTTTTGGTATCAGTGTTTTGCTGTAGGAGTCTGATTCAGAGATCTGATATTGTTAATCTGGTTGCTGTTCCATAAGTACTGTCTCACATTCCAGCTTAAGCATCAGGTGGGGATTCTTTTGGGCCCTCTGCTCATGTGAATCCTCAATAGTGTATGCCACCATTGTGCCTTCTTTTGGGTAGTTTGGTTCAATCCATTTTAGTAATTCCAGCATCATCAAAATATGTCTGTGCTTCATGGTTTAATCATTACAGTCTGGGCTGGGGGGCAATTTTATATCCTTAGTGGATTCTGAGAGACCAACATCAGCCAACCTAACTGTAGAGTTCTTAGCCATTCCATGGACTTCTCTTTGCATCCCAGATGTAGGAAATGTAGGAAGGAAGGTTTTGAACAATGCCCTACCCCCCAATTGGGGAAAAGAACTTAACTAACCTTGTCCTGATACTGAATCATAAGGGGTAGTGATTTAGCCATGCTGTATAGAATGAAAAGAAGGTTTTATTCAGAAAAATCCTGCTTTGATCATAGAACATTGCACTGGGGAAGCTTTCTTGAGAAGTTCCTTTAGAGAACCGAGTAAGCCAAATCTCTAGTTAGAAGAAAGATTTTGATGGGTAAAAGGCCGTGCAAGAACTTCAAGGGAAGGCAATCGTTGCCCACATGGATTTCTAATTGGAATAAAACACGTTTTCTCATAGCAAGAGGCATTGGAGTTTACATGCCCCATCAGCCTTTATTCTGTGATTCTAGCTCCTGAACACACCCGTCAGTTAGAAGATCATGTATCGCTACCTATGGAGGGGGAAGAGGTGGAAGGAGATCATGGTCTACACAGCTCAGATGCACATGGAAACAATCCCACTGTTCATTGCGCTCTGTCTCCTGCCAGCACTATATATCTACAGCTGGAAGCATTGCGAGGGGTAGCCATGTCCCTACATAGCATCGCGTCCTGCATACAGCTCCGCCTCAGTGAGCTGGCTAACGAGGAAGAAGAAGTGATCTACCAGCTCTGGCAGAATGGGGCACGTCGGAGGAGATTTCTGGAGATCATTGGTAGATGGAGGAGAAGATCTGCTGAGCAATATCGGATGCTCATCCAGGCGCTGACTGAGACAGTACCATTGCCGCGGCGCTGGTGGGTGTATCCGGCACGAAGGCGCTGGTGGAGAGAACTTGTTCTAACAGTTTGGGACGACGAGATGTGGATTGCCAACTTCCGGATGTCTAGAGCTACCCTGTTTGAGGTTGCAGATCGTCTTCGTCCCCTGCTACAGAGACAGAACACGGTTCTGCGCATTCCTATTGCGGTGGAGGAGAGAGTAGCTATTACTGTTTGGTGGCTCGCAACTCAAGCCAGTTACCGTGAAGTCGCACACCAGTTTGGAATAGGAAGAACCACCGTGGGCAATATTGTTGTGGAGGTGTGTCTGGCAATTGAGTTGCTTCTGAAATGTACTGTCTGCCTTGGTGATCATCAAAAGGTGAGTGCTGCTGCGTTATTCCAGCCATGTCCTAACACTCTGGCACAGAATGAAAACCCACTGAGCTGGCAGCAGCTCGTTGAACGGCGGTCATCCTATAGCTCTGTAGTGCGGAAGGGGGCAGCGTGCTTTTGTGAAGGCTACCCGTACTTAGCTTTCCTATTCTTCCCTTACAGATCATGGATGGCTTTGGTGCTATGGGCTTCCCCCACTGTGTAGGAGCAGTGGATAGGTGTCATATCCCCATCTGTGCTCCTTATGGACAACGTGAGCAGTGTGTAAACAGAAAGAACTATTATTTAATGTTGCTACAGGGGACAGTAGATCACACTGGGCGGTTTATTGACATCGAAGTTGGGTACAGTGGCACTCATCGTGACGCCTTTATGTTTAGAAATTCTTCTCTGTGTAAAGCTATGGATGCTGGTGTGTTTGTTCCCGGAAACCCAACGATGACCTATGGAGGTGTCACTATCCCGCCCCTCATACTCGGTGATGATGCATACCCATTGAGACGGTGGCTCATGAAACCATTTGTTGGCCGTTTGGGCCATCGGGAGATGCTATACAACCGTGTGTTCCACAGGTGCCGAAATGTGGTAGAGAGAGCATTTGGGCGACTCAAAGCACGTTGGCACTGTCTCACCATGCAGTTACCCGTGGCGGAGGAAAACGTTGTGTCAGTCATTTCTTCGTGTGTGGTACTCCATAACATCTGCGAGACCAAAGGTCACCCGGTGACATGGACACCTGACAGTGAGGTGCCGCCCTTTACAGTCCCCGTAGAAGACTGTAAGGCTCATAGTCAGCGCCATACAGCCGAGGCCAAGGCAGTGCGGAGTGCAGTAGCGGATTTTCTGTTGGCCTCCAATTGACCACTCTGCCGTGAAACTGTTCCTGCATCTCAAGAAGGTGCTTAGTCTTCCCCCGACCCCATAACCTGCCTGTAACTATGAATGTTAATATAAATTATTTCAAATCAAAGCTACTTGTTACCTCTGTTGTGTTTCCTTGATTGGCTGTTCTAGGGTGACCCCAGTTGCAAACAGCTCGTTGTGACAGTAGAGGTAGATGTCCAGTGTAGTTCCATAACAGCCAACATAATAGTGATCAAGTCAAACCTGGGGTGCTTTCAGCTTACTTGAAATTCGGGCAAATTGCAACCCCCACGTCTGTCCCTAGAGTCCACTTCTGTCACCCGTACCCACATACGCATCTTTCCCTAAGAGGACAACATAAGAAGCAAAGCTGTTTTAGGGAATGTGATGTTGTTTTCAACAGCAAAGGATGAGCTATTTACATAGCAACACATTTGCCTAGATACGTATCCAAATTGCCAAGTGCGTATACAAAGACACAAACCAGAGCTCTGCTCATAGCTATCCTTTTTTTCTGGCTCTCTATCCCAGTGTACCACCATTGGTCAGACTTCACATCTGCCATAGCAATGCATCTCAGTTCTCCAGACACTGAACTCATTTTCAGGAACTTTTTTGCAGCAAGCTTCAGAGTCAAGTCATGGCAGACAAGAAAGAAGTCATATGTATACCAAAATCAAGTCCTATAGATATGGGTGTGTAATGCAGATTTTAAATTTTCCTCTCACTTTTTCAAGTCCGTGGACTTTGGACTATACTTTTCTTGGCCTTATGGATCAGACTGACTCCTGGCATTTATTTATCTATTTGACTTAGACTTACCACCCAACCCAAATCGATTCATGCTGGCTCAAGCATCAGAACAAATAACAAGTGTACTATATAAAATAGAACATACAACATTAAACAAAATCTGGTCAGTGAAATGAAAATATATCATACACCTGACAGGGAGCTCCGGCCACCTTAGCATAAAGCAGGGTGGGAGCCATTTGGATCTCGGGGGAACCTCATTCCAGAGGGCAGGCACCCTGAGACAAAAGGCACGCTTCTGGGGTCCTGATAGATGGCATTGATAATCAAAGGAAACCAGAGTGCGCCAACCCTGTTGGATCAAACTGGCCAGGCTGACCCCACAGGAGATGGTAAAGGTTCTGTCCTGTTTCTGCCTTCCCAACTTCAGCCCTTATATTTTCTGGAGTTTCTTCTCCTGTGTCCACACCCTGCTCCAGGCTGCTCCTACTGTTGAAAAAGAAAAGCAACATTATAAAGGGCGAGTTGCCCATAAGATTGATTCTATGAAATGAAAGAGTTGATGGCTGAAGTGGAGGAGGGAATGGTAGTACCAGAAGAGGTAGCTGTCCCCATGTTTAGGCACTCCTCCTCTGACTTGAGAAGTCTGGTCAATGTGGGCAGTGCTCACAGGGTGCCCATTTCCTTTGGAATATGCGTTGGCAAGGCAGTCATTAATGGGGCAATTTCTCATGGCAGATTGTTGGGCTGGCTGCAGGAAATATGGTAGTAAGCTGGATAAAACATCAGTAAAGAGAGTTCTACCCCCGGTGCTGGAGTATCTGGATTCTGCTGCTGAGCTTCTTAGAAGGGAGAATGTAGCAGCTGATGCCTTTCCACCAGAAGAAAGGGAGGTTAATTGTGATGGAGTATCCATTGCTGACACCAAAGATTAGGGAGCCTCCAGCCCAAGGGCAAATTAGGCAAAATTAATAAGTGAACATGGTACCTAGAAGTGGTCATAAGTTTGGGAGTGAAAGTGGGCATAGTCCCCCAACAAAGCAGATCTTACTACTTCACAAAGCAAGAATGACCACGATTGATGCCCAATGATGTCTATTTATCAAGTGATAACTGCTCTTACCGTTCTCCATGGTAGTGTTGCCAGCAATGGATTTTCTTCTATATCTGCTCTCTGTTCCTGTCTCAGGGGAAAAGACAGTGCAGCTCTCTGGGCAGCTACAGCTTACTCACTGAGTGACATCAAAAGCTACCGTAAGAGACGGAAAAACATCTTCAGTTGCAGATTTGAAGGGGGAAGGTTGCAAGGTGAACTTAGCATCCCTGACAAGTGAACATGGGCCCAATGATTACAATGCTAAATTGATGCTGGGGGAGTGGCATTTTACAAAGGGAGAATAACCACTGAGGACAAATGCACATGTCCTCTTTGAATGTAAGGTTTTGTAGGGAAGTGTTTACAAATGGAAGACAACTATCCAGGATAGAGGAATATGTGCCATAGGATTACTGAGCTGAAATGGGAGTGGACTCTACTGGGTGTGAGGGACCTGGGCTTGCTACCCACACACTAAGTCACCGCAGTTATGGGCCACTGCAATACATCTAAGAGTTCCACCTTGGATTTAGAACTTCCATTGGAAGTTAAAGAATAAATAGTGAAGTTTATTGCAGATACAGTGAGCCTGAACAGCAATGAAAATCAGCTTCTACAGCATTATTTATAAGAATATCCCAAAGTTAAACCCCTCAATGTCTTCCACCATTACATCATAACAGACTGGTGGCAAGAGCTTTCTCATGCTTTTCTGTGATGTCAGCCTGCAAGTAGTTTACCAAACAGCTTTCTCCAGTCCTAGACTTCCCTCTTCCTGCCTCCATGCCCAACGTCCTGCTATTATGGTCCCCTGTAGTGTTAAAGAAATCAGCTTTGAGCTCCTTGAATTTGGGTAGGGGTTCGAGCAACTTCTTCCTACTTCATCTTCCACGCAAACTGAGCCAACAATAGACACATAGAGATAAATCACATTTACACACCATTCAAAAGAGACAATTAAAAAAAAGCTAAGAACGAAACAAAAAAACAAGAACACATCTTCTCCAGCAGCCAACACCCAGATAAGCAGGGATTAACACCAGACAAACAAGCAGAACACAATACCCTAATCAAGGAACTACCAAGGAGAAAACCACACTTCCACAACACTGGCAGGGCATGCTACTGTATATAAACACAGAGCAACCCTACACCCCCTCACACTGATGATGTTACCTAGTTGGGCAATGAAATGTCTGCAAGCAAACAGCCAAGGTCAGAGAGCACCAAGGACTCTACAGTTCAACCCTGAGCTACATATATTCTGTTCTATTGGATTCATCCTCCATGCAGTCTAACTATACAGGATGGAAGGGAGATGTCAGCCATCAGAACCTCCACTGCCCCTGACTGCCAACTTCTGATATTTAGGTCCCGATCCTGAAAAACATCTTGGAAGGCAGTGTACTGATGGAAGACCCAAATGAAATAGGGCCTCCTAAGGGGACCAGGGATGGGGAGCTGTAATGGGCTTCTGAAGTCCAGGAAAGGGTGCAGAACTTCTGGAAATTCTTCCTTTATCAGGAAAAGAGGTATCCAGTATGTCAACAGTGCATCAACAGATGGCTAGCAGGAAGATCAAGAAAGCTCTACCCAAACAAACTTAAATTGGGTTGTAAAAGAAATGTCTAATCAACATTTCTGTAAACTCATTCCCTTTTCCCTTTCAATAAATTTGGTTGAAGAAGCCCGAGAATCTTGTTTTTCAGTTGCAAGTGGCTGCTAAGGACTTGACAGAAGGAGGAACGCAGTTACCATTTCTTCACTCAGTCAAAACAGAATTCACATTGCCAAATCTAGCTGTGGGGAGAACATAAGCCAAACTTGAACACGGTTGAAGAGTCCCCGCTTCTGGATTCAGGAACATAGACATTAGCAGGACAAGCACCATCAGAATGATTAGCAGCAGCAGTTAATGGAACCTCAGTGTCAGAGCTTCACCTCAGGATATGGCAGGAAACTTCTCTTGGTACATATAGCTACCCTGCAGTTATTGTGGATGCAAGAAACTGCCATAACAACAATCAGCTATTGCAGAATCAAACAAACAAGGCTTCTTATAATAGCCCTGGATTTAAGTCTTGTATTTCTTTCTCCTGCTCTTCTATGGCAGTGGACTTCTTCCTGCTCCTTTCTCAGCTTTGGATGTGGAGGACATCTGCACCATGCATTTTTCTGGTCAGGCTCTTTGCTTCTAGCCTTGCCATCTTCAGCCTTCATGCTGACTACTATGGACTTGGGCAGATGTGCAAGGAGGCTGCAGGCCATAGTGGAGTGGCTCTAAGAAGCACTGAAGGACATATCCAGCAGGATCTCTGGGAAGATGAATATTTTACCAATTGTACTAGATTGTTTATTTGTACCTCTTGCTAATGTCATGGGGCTGCAGTGGGAACCATCCTAACCTGGTGATAGAAAAGATACCGACTTTAGCCTGTAGCCATTGAGCTAACTTTCCATCATCCTCTTTGGGGAAACAAATTCTTTCCAGAAGCTCTACCACAAGCAGGAACAGGAGCTATTTTTGCCTGACGCCCCTTTGGTGCAAGGCCAAAATAATGCAACAGTGAAAGGGTAGCGAATTACCCATTGCCTCTTGAACATAGCATAAGAGCTGGAAGTCAACATTGGTTCACTGTGTGCTGCTTCTCAGAGAGAGACAGGCGTTGATATGGGTAGACAAATAGGGTATTCTCAAGGTGTAAGACCAGGGGTCCAAACAACAGGTCCAAGAGGAAAGGAAATAAAGAAAAGGTTTTTCTTAAGAATGACACTAATAACTCAACTAGATTCCTCTTTGTTTCTTGTTTTGATTCTTTAGCCAGGGTGATGTGGCTGACTGTGGTATAGGAGGAGGTGGACACAAAGCATTTTTCAGAAAAGAGTGAGCAGAATAGCACAGTGGCCTCAGAGCCCCATCCCATTCCTGCTGCAGTGTTGTGACTGGCTGATGTTTTCACCCCTGGCTGGTATCAGCAATTTTTTCTGCTACTATTATATTCTGCTGTCTTAGGATGGGTTGACAGCACATTAATTCAGTAGTGCTTTGATGCAGGGTTCCTCAACCTCAGCAACTTTAAGATGGGTGGACCAACTCCCAGAATTCCCCAGC